AGGCGGGGGTGAACTCCTGACAGAGGCAAAAACAGACATGCAACAAGCCAATCGCCTTGTTTTTGTTGACAGAGCACATGACATATGCATGCAGGGAGTTCAGCAGAACCTATGGAAGATGGTCTTGATATGTTTTCTGATTCTTTCCTTTTCAAAGTTTTTCAAGATGGTGGCTACTATAAACCTTTTAGTGAAACTGAGAGATGAGTCGATGGGTTCGCACGGGGCTTGGCAGCTCTTCCGCGCTGTTGCGGGGCTCCTGTGTCATGACTGCGAGGGCTAAAGGTTGAGCGTTATCATGAGGTGGCGTGTTTTCAATATGCTACTGCCTGCTGCTTCCGGATGGTTTCTGTTTCAGTCCTACACGCAGCCACTCATGTATGGGGTGCCCTCCTCCTATTGGGAGAGCTCTCTCTGAGCTCCTCAGACAGATGTTCGCTCCTTCCGTTTTTGCGCCCAAACAGCGGTGGGGGTTTCGTCGAGTCGCTCAGGAATGGCGAGGTGGCCGAAGGGATTCGCCTTTTAGAGAAGGCACCGCTCACGCGCATTCAGCTGGCGTGCGCGTCAGCTCGCGCGTCAAAGCTTGCGTGTCAAAGCTCGCGTGTGAGCAGGCGAATGACGTCTTGAATGGGTGCAAGAGGATAGGTACACTTGCCAATGGGCTTTGACATCTAGTCACCTAGTCTTGACATTGCCACCGAGGGCCATCCATGCTTCTGAGTGCTTCAATCGTAACAACCCACCGACCCAGCTTTCCAATTTGCATGCTTCAACGTATCACCGTGTCTCACCCCATATCACCTTCCGAAAAAGGGAGAAACCAGCCTGGCGATTGGAGGATTTCAGTCGCCACGAGCTGCGAGGCCATGCGCCTGGGCGGCTGCCCCGGCTTGGAGGCCGGCTGCCCCAGATGGAACCGAGGGTTTGAACAGAGGGTTTGATCATCAAACATGCCTTGTAAAGACTTGGTGCTTGGGCTTTTTCCATGGAGGTGTGGTCATGGTGTGGTCTACTTATAGGTCCATGTTACATGTTATATGCCAATTTTTCTGCCATCCTATTGATAGATTGATTTAGAGCTGATTGCGTTTGATCAGTGGAGGACACTCTGCGCGCAGCCCGCGCTGCGGCAGAGGGGGCAACCACAGCACCCACACCTGCGCGGGCTCAGGCGCGGTGGGCGAAGCGTGGTAAAGAGTTTCATAGTTGAATTCTTTGCAATAGCGTCCTTGCTACTAGTAGTTTCTTGTTACTAGTAGCGATGGCCTCCACCCTACTTGCGATGGCCTCCACCCAATAGCGTCCTAGCTAATTCCTGTGGTTGAATCAACATGTGGCGCAGATAGCAGATATAGCAGTGAGTCGGCATTTTGTTCGTTAGAACATCGTGGTACGAGGACGAACGCCGCTTTGCATCCTTTTGACCTTGACACTCGTCCAAAAGACTCCTGTGTTGGATCACCAAGACCGGCTTTTACCATGAAAAGAGACACAACTGATTGGTTTTGTGGCAGGAGCAGGCAGAGCTCAATGGCAACTTGGCGTGCAGTGCACCAAAATGGCACAGGTAGGTCCCCAACCGGCCAAGTGTGTTGCTTTGCAAAAGCACTGTGCATACTGCAGTCAATTCATGAGTTTGGGGGCTGGCAGTTTACAGTTTACTCCCCAGCTTTGCACTTGAGGTGGGCTGGTGCCGGAGAGATATGCCTGGTCTCAGACCAAGGACTTGTCGACTTTGGCAGCGCCGTGCTTGCAACAGGTGGCTTTCGTGATCTTTCGTGGCTTTCATCTATTGGGCTTTTGGTCCATGTTTCGGATGCCCTTTTTCAAAGACCTCAGACAGCCACATTGATCGCCCCTCAAACAAGCAACAACATCTTCCAAAGGCCTTCGAAAGCGACACTTGTGAGGCCTACATTTCTGAAGCCACAGCTCTATCAGCCCTCAATCCCCCTCATGCTTAGCCATGCTGGGCCATCAGGAGACGGTGGAACTGAATCTCTTTGTGCCGGAAGATGCCAAAGCCAGAGACGTCAAGGCTGCATCTTCGCGGCAACCTTGAAAATCCCGGACAGAAAGGACACACCGACTAAGAATAGTAACCAATAAGCTAGTAGAAACAAGTGCCTCGCTAGTAGTAACAGGTGCCTTACTAGTAGTAACAAGAAGCTATTAAATTAATTTTAATGTAATTTTTTTAGTTCTAATAGCTTTTTGTTACTACTAGTAAGGCACTTGTTACTACTAGCGCGGCACTTGTTACTAGTAGTAACAAGAAGCTACTAAGAATAGTAGATGTCTAAAAGTCGGAAGGTCCAAAGGTGTCTCAAGGCACAGAAAAAGTGAACGAAATGCCCGAAGAAGCGAAGCCCACCAACCGCAGAAGAAGAGACCAACGGCTTTCGGGTGAGACGACCTTTGGGTTTTTCAGGTGGAGGTCTCTGAAAGCAACTTGCGCATCACCCACAATGGCGCCACCCTCCTGGCGGGCGAATGGGAGTTCAAGGTGCGGCCTCTGAAACGGTCGCGTTGATGTGTTGATCTCAGAATCCGGCATGGAGGCATGGAAAGCCGGGCTGAAGAATGGACACCGAAAAGGACATCGTCATCAAACAAGTCCTGATTCGATCATTCTTCTCGTATTCTGTGGGTCAACGCACCAGTTTAACCAGTTCTTTTAAACACCAGTCAGTTTAACCGGCGCTTTTCTTTCTTAATCATTTCACCCCTTTTGATTCTGGGAACCTCTCGCGAGGTCGAGCCTGAGGAGGCGTGATGGCGGAAAGAATGGGAAAGAACGGGCTATCAGATGCAGGGTTTGGCGTGTTGCCTTTGGTCCCATACACCCGTTGGGGTTCCATGATGTCCCATGCAGAAAAACACATGAAGAAACGATGACGGAGGTCTTGGAACTCTTTTGTCCTGAACCCCTTTTTTGGCAGGGTTCATGCGCTTCGTTCAGCGCAGCGCAGCACTTTGGGGGCCAAGTGGTGCCCACGCTGCCCCAAGCGCACTCCACCAGGTCCATGCCGGTCCCCATGAACGGACGGCAACGACCTCCGAGGACGTGGACTGGGAGCTGAAGCGATGCCACGACCGCCGGGCCTTGCGGCTGTTGGTGCGAAAGGCATGCCCGGCCCACAGGAGCGGGTTTAGAGGGCCCCAGGCTGAAGGAACCATGACTTCTGTAGAGGGCCAGGGCCAGTTCGTGTGAGTTTCTTGGACTTTCGGGGTTGTTCCAACCAGTTCGAGCCCTTTGTTTTTTGTTGTTTTTCTTTTGGTGGCTTTTGAAGCTCAGTTGTTCGAGTAATTACGGTGAATGAGAACATCGTGGAACAGGGTTTTCGAGTTCTGAACATTTTGGAAGTGCTGTGACTTGTTTAGAGCCAGTTCCCTCCATTCGGTCGAGTCTAAGAGATTGCTTGCAAGAAATTCAGCGGCCGGAAGGCCGCTGAATGATGTTTCTGATGTTTTCACCAAGTCCATTCTTGTGGTCCCGTGACAGCTCTTGTACCAGGCGCCGATGCCCGGAGGAATGAGTGTCTCTGTCGGGTGCTCCTAGAAGGAATGAGTGCTCCCAGCACGGCACGTTTCAGTGTCCGGACTGGTGGGATGTGATCCTAGCCTAAACCTTGAAGCTGTAAACAGTCCTCCGCCATGTACAATTGACTGAGTTCCAGTAGAAGCACTAAAAGTCAAAGGCTTTTTATCAAAAGGCGGCATCCCTGCGCTGGCGCAGGGGGTCCCCCCAAAAGCAGCACGGTAAATCGAGAGGTTCCAGTGGAGGCCTCCGCGCTCGTCCCTTCGGCCCCTTTAAGGTCTGGTGGAGCGGACTCCTCAAGGGTGAGCCCCAGATCGATGTGAAGAACATCGAGGCGCCGCTTCGCGGATGGCCGGCTTCGCGGAGGCCGCGTCCCAAAGAGGCAACTGCTAGCACCGCTACGAACGCAGCTCCTGTCATGTACTACTAGTAGTCAGAAGCTACTAAAGATAAGAAAGGGCATCGCTGCGAACGGAGCCAGAAACTAGTAGGTTGGAGGCCATCGCTACCAGTTCGGGCTCTTGACGCGCCAGGCCCGCCAGCGGGACCGCGACAAGAGCGCCGAGCGGGGCGAGCCCAGCTTGGACAAGTCGGCTCACACCCCAATAAGATGGTGCAAAATATCCCTGCAAAGCCAGCCCATCCAGAAGAACATCAACATGTAGTTCTATATAGTTCGCCCATGCAACGACGAGGGCGTTTTCCTTGTGAACCATGCAGGAGAACATCAACAAAACACATCAATCCCCCGACTGTCCTGTCGGTGTCGGACGATGTCGGGACTTCCAACCGGATGACCCACGGTGCCGCGGTGCCGCACGTGGCGGAGCCGGGGGGGCTTGCGCTTGAAGACCGCGCAACGGTGGAGCTGAAGCGAGCAGTGGTGTGGAAAGGGGGTCATATAGGAACTGGATCTAATCATTCAGTTAAGCAAGTTATAGAAGATGAGAGCCTAAGAAGAATGTAGGAGAGTGGCCGAATTTGACATGGGTGAGCGCGCGCTGAGGTTCAAGAAAGCTTGGACTGAGGCTCATGTTCCTTGGGCTCAGTTGGGAATGGGGGCGCTCAAAGAGTTGCCAGTTTTTGGTTGAACAATCGAAGCTCTCCAAGTTGTAGGAGGAATGATGTTCTCATTGTATCTCACTGTGCCACTCAATGGGCAGTCAACCACTTAAAATATGTTTGAATGCTTGAAGGAGGATAAGTGTTGCATGGAGTTATTAAATGGGAGACCTTGAGGAAGCCTGGCCAATTTAAAATATAGAACTTGCGTGCAGCTGTTTTAGTGCCCAATCACACCACGAGGCGTCAAACTAAGGTCATGCGAAGTCTGAGCAGCATAAGTATTTATAATGTATGCTGATGAACTTCCTAGGTATGCCCAGGCGTGGCACGTATGCCAAGTGTGCAGTGCCCTGTTTAAGGCCATTACGTTTTTCCATGTTCCTAGCGTCAACAGGCACTCACCGGCCACGACTCACCCACCTCTGCCTGGCCGCGCTGTCCGCCGTTTCCCGCACAACGGCCGAGCCTCCGCCGAGCCTTTGCGCGTCAGATCGGATGCCTCCGAGGGCGGATGCAGGCCAGGTCTTGTGTCCGTGGACGACGTTTCGCTGAGGGTGAGGTAAGCAGCTGGAAGCATGATAAGCATAATTGCAACAGAGTCAGGACACTTGCAGCTTTCATACCGTGTTGGCTTTGGCTTTGTCTTCTTTGCGCTCACCCCAAAAGAACTACTCCAGAACACACCGTCTTGCGATGCCCCCCGCTTCTGGTAGCTGCTTAACCGGAACCGTTCGGCTACAACTCTTGTGCGCCCGCGCGCGGCGGTGCCGCAGGTGTCTCCTTCGCTGAGAGCTTGGCGCGTAAGGTCGATGCCTTTCACGTGCAGCAACGGGAAGAGAAGCGGCAGTGGGTTCTTCAGCATGAATGCTGTCTAGGCGGCCCTAATTCGGCATGCGAGGAAGGCCATCCGAACTGGTCCGGTCCCATGTTTTGATGATGGAGGTTGGCAGGGGCCAAGGGGGGGGGGCTTTGCGAAGTGGTGGGAAAGCCCCCCGGTGAACTTACCTTCGGTGCCGAAAGTTGATTCTTCCGGAAACAGAAAGTGAGGAGAGGCCTGGGTCTTAAGCGGCGTGCTGAGGGCTGTCCTTGAAGGACAGCTAGTCAGAACTGAACAGCTAGACATTGTTGACTTTGTTCACATTTGCAGTGCAAAATCCCAGGTTGCCAAGGAGATCGAGAAGTTCAAGCAGCTTTGCGAACACGCTGCCAGCAGCAAGGGAAAGTATGGAGCACGCTGGGAGACCTTCCCTTTCACCGTGAAGGAGGCCGACAAGAGTTTCTACGAGTCACTAGGAACAAGTGCATCGCTAGTAGTAACAAGTGCCTTACTCGTAGTAACAAGAAGCTATTAGTAACAAGTGCCACGCTGGTAGTAACAAGTGCCTTACTAGTAGTAACAAGAAGCTACTAGGAACAAGTGCCACGCTACTAGTAACAAGTGCCTTACTAGTAGTAACAAGAAGCTACTAGGAACAAGTGCCACGCTACTAGTAACAAGTGCCTTACTAGTAGTAACAAGAAGCTACTAGGAACAAGTGCATCGCTAGTAGT